AAAAAAAAAAAAAAGAATTTTTTTCTGCACGGGTCAGGCAATTTTTGCAAAATTATACCCACGTAAAAGGGGCGACAACCCTTTTTTCACCTGAACAAAAAAAAAAAAAAAAAAAAAAATAGCTGTATAAATAATGGCGAGAGGGGAACATACAGACGGCGCTTTCACACCCCTATTCGTGTTGCCGACATAAAGGTATGCTTCTCTTTTTTTTTTTTGGTGTGCCTCCCCCTCCACTGAAGCATGTTCGTGAGGAGGTTACCAATATGTGCGCCGCTCTCCTTTGCGAGGAGGTACATTGGGAACCATAACAAAATTTTCGACAAACTCAAAGAAAGAGGAGGAACGCTGGACGGGGAAACAAATGAACACGTGTGCAACCAGGACAGCGATGACGACCGAGTGGAAATTATTAACATTGATGAGAGAATCCTCCGCAATGATAACATCCCCTGGGGCGAAGTAAAACAAACAGAGGAGGTAAACAAAGACGATCTACACAGAGAAGATGAATTCTACAAAAACATGAGGTACTTTAAGAATGTCGATGTGAGAAGCTTCATCCAGGAAACGATTGACTATTACACATTTGAGCAGCTCAGAGGGGATGAGTGGACAGCCAAGGAAGGGCAGCAGCACAAGTCGAATGAGAACAAGGGGGGACTCCAAACGGGAAGGGGGGAAGAAGTAGAAGGAGGAAAGCAACGAGTTGGCGATGGCCAAGTGACGGATGAGGAAAGGCGAGACAATGCAGAGCAAGCGTATAGGCCAACCTTCAGGGAGAAACCAAAATGGGAGCAATGCACAGGGGAGAAAAACTATGAAGGGTTAACCCCTGCGCAAAGATTTTACGAAGAGAACAAGGAGAAACTTATAATGGAGAGCATGAAGCAATACAATGAACGGAGGATGAAACTGGATGGAGGGAGTAGTAGTAGTAGTAACCCCCACCTTGGGATGCATACAAACCAAGGGGAGGAAGCTGAAGAGGACTATTACCATACCCAGGTGACGGACCCGATCGTCAGGCAGAGGGACAACTACCTGTTCGACTACGAAGATGATGAAGGGGACGCAAATGGTGAGGATGGAAATAGCGAGGCGGACGACAGCGTAGAATTAGAGAAGGGAGTCATGCCCACCATCGAGCAGATCGTCTTCATCCTAAAGCATGAAAAGGTGAAAAACATTAAGGTAATCGACCTGGACAAGTGCGGACGAAGAGACATCGGCATGTTCTTAATTCTTTGCACAGGAGAAACACCCAAACATAATAAGCGAGTGGGAAAATTAATCAGCAGGATTTTTGTAGACCTAGAGATACCCTTCATTTCTAAGGTAGCCTACTGCTACTGTAACAAATTTGATGATTGGATCATCGCCCACTGTGGTCCGCTAAAAGTGCATGTGGTCACCAAAGAGCTCCGAGATGTGTACGATTTGGAGAATCTCTTCCTTTACCCCCATGAACATTTCAACAGTGAAAATTTCCCTGCCTTCTTCGACTACACCCCCGGCATCCCGCCCCCCTACATCGTCCGCAGTAACTCCTCCCTGGACGCCTATTCGAATGACGAACTTTATCACAAGTTCATTACCGACACGTGAGGCGCGGGGACGGGGTCAAAAAATGGAGCAAAACATAAAGCAGGCGAGAAAGAACTACCAGGCAGAGCCCCTCACTGGGGAACGCCACCATCAACTACTTAACTGAACGCAGGTGTCTCCCCAATGTGGTACCATCTTCATGCACCCGCTGGGAGGACGCCTAATTGCAGTGACAAAGACGTAGTGCCGCGTCTGCGAAGAAAATGCCGCGATGTGCACACGGGGGGGAGAAAAACGCGAGAGTACTGTCCATGCACAGGCAAAAAAGCCCCCTTAACAGTGAGCATTTGCGGAAGGAGAAAAAGAAAGACTTCACATCGCAGATTAACATAGCAGCACTGCTGAAGTGAAACACACTGCATGGAGGAACGACCGGTGAGGACAGCTTAACATACTGACCAGCGTGAGAGACTCTTTTTTTTTTTTTTTTTGGACCCACACCTTGGCACAGCTCCCCTCACGCCCCCCCCCGTGGGTATATCTCCCCCCACCATGGAGGAGAAAAAAAGACGAACGAAAAAAATCGTGGCCGCGGAGGAGATGAAGGCTACGCGGGAGGATCGGGTAACTAAAATGGGCACATAATTGCTGGGCCAAACGTTAGGCAAAAGGAACGGCGAAATGGGGCGTGCACAAGAAGGAGAATCCCCTTCGAGACCGCTGCTCAACCCGCCCTTTCTTGTGTCTCCCCTTCGAATGCCAGGTGCTGCGAAAGTTCGAGGACGTGAAGAACAAGTGGGACAGACAAAGACAGCTCATAAAGGAACGGACGAAGAAGAGGGAAACCCTGGCCGACCAGGGGGACAAGTACCGGGAGAGGAACGAAGTAAACACAAGCATGGAAAAAAAAGGGTGTGACGTCACTCTGATTCATTTTTCAGCAAAGGAATGGATCAATGCGTACAAGTGGACCCCCTCTCCAGGGTGCCACCCCCTTACCCCCAAAAAAAAGGGCCGCACGCCTAATCTGTTACTTCTTCCCTTTTGTTCCACCTTGCCCAGTTGAACACCCTCATTGAGCACCTAAATAAAGAAGAGAAAAAAAAAATAAACTGGACGGAGAATCTACGGGATGAAAGCGAAAGCATAACATTTAAAGAGGCAGTGAAGAAGGTGAATCTGGGAGTAGATTTGTGCAAAGGGAATAGGGACATATTTGAGAAGGTGTTCGAAGGGGAGGCAATTCAACATGGAGACCCCACAGTCGTGCAGCAACACGATCCGTACGTTACGAACAGGGACGCGAAGAAGAATTTTTACCAGGGGCAAATAATAAACAAGATTAAGAATAACCTCGAGTTCGTTTTACAAAATTTTGCCATTCCCTTGGACAGCACATTCGTCGTGCAGGGGAGGAGGGTCGACGTGGCAGAGGTGGCAACTGCGCATGAGGAGGACGCACTCCCCACTGTACGCGATATAGGGGATAGTACCCTCTCCCCGCACCCCACCCATGACGAGTGTGGTAAGGTGTATTCCCCTTCTAATGAGCAACCCTTACAAACGAGCAAACACATAATACGAATACAAAACGGAGGAAGAAGAAGGAAAGTCATCCCGACCTCCATTGAACTCCACAACACATCATCGAGCATAATTATGTTCTCCATTTCATATAAAAAAAAAATTAAATTAAAAAATGAAGTGTTAAGACAGAGGGATTATCTCTTCTTCCATGAGCACAAGAATTATACTCTGTTCATTTCGCCTAATGTAGGTTACTTAAAACCAGGGGAGAAGAAATCAGTCAGCTTAATTTTTTCTTTTAATTACTTTGTGAATACCTTTGGGGCTATTACCATTAGGTATTTGTGTAATGAACAGGTGTTTCACAGGGACGTGTCGGTGCAGGTCGATTCTTTTTTCGAGTTGGATGCGACTGAGCTGCGCAGGGGGGATGTCTCATGGGGACATTTTTCACTCTCCTCCAACCGTACCCACACAAACGACAAACATGAAGGGGCACCCATAAAAAATCGCCTGAACAACTTTTTTTTTTACACCAAGGGAAGAGTCTTCTCATCAGCTAGCCATTTTGCAAACCACGACAGAGAGATTACACTGGATATGGTGCACTCTGTGAGAAATAATCATATGAAAGGTTCACACCCCGCAAGCAATTCCCCATGTAGGGATACCCCCATGAGCAGCAACTATATGTATGATGTGTTCATGAAAAAAATATTAAGTGAATCGTTGCAAGAAGCAGTTAAGCAGTACGTAATAACTTTGCTACAGTCGTACGCTATTGTGTGCGGGCGAAATGAAGAGCAGGGGATCCCCTTGGGTGCACAGAATAAGGTTGCCACTCTCGCACATGAGAATGAACATCACTCCAGTCATAATACATATAAACGAGGAAAAGAATCTTCAAGAGGAGTCAAAGGAGGACAGTCACCTACAAATGTACATCAGCAACATATAGCATGCGCAAAGGATACCTTTTTTAATTACCTGTTGAGAAGCTTCCCCACTGCGTTCAGGAAAAGCTACTTGGTCACTCTCCTACACATGGCTCTTGAGCAAACTTTATTAACGCGCTCTCACTCCTTCTACCTGCGTCGCTATTTTTATGTAATTCGTTTCGTCCGGATGATTATAATGAGGCAGGAGGTGCCGGATGACCTCCTATCACATCAAGACACAGTGTTTGTACAAACCAATACACATCTGCTTCGTTACATAATTGGGTTCATTCATGACCTGTACAGATCGCACCAGCAGAATGACAACGTGAATAATATAAAGGAAATCATTTTTTATTTTCTCTCCTCTGCCTTCCTGTGCATACAACGGGGTGTTAGGAATGTGATTCTGTTTTTAAATTTGAACTTAGAGGGATGTACTACTGCTCCCTTGGGAGGTGAAGCGTACACAAAGAGCGAAAGCGTCATGTCCCCCTGGGGGGGAGATTTCACCAACGCCGTTTTCCACTCCTTTGTCTTTTCCTACGTCAGGGCTTTTCTCTCTTCACAAGGAAAGACGACACACTACGCGTTGCATTTCGTGGGGGAGCAGGCAGACGTCTCGCAGGTGTGCGAAGCGATTTTCTCTCAACGGGGCGACATCCGTGCAGTTCGCAGTGACGACGAGCGCGGCGTGTCTACTGACCGTACCCATGATGATACCACCTCGAACGTTCTTGAAGGGGATGGAGGAGAGACACCCCTCGAGGAAGACTTCTTCAAGAAATTTCAACTGGATGAAGACTATGCGAAATGTTTTTTTGGCGAGAGCGGGGAGGAGGAAGAACCACCACAAGGGGAGGATAAAAAGGGGCACATTGTTTTTGTCGCGGGTAAGGAGGCTTTTGCGCGGGCGGTGTATGAGTGGCATTGCGGGTGGTCAGTGCGGAGGCTGGAGAGTCGGTTGGCATGCGCGCAGGTGGGTCGATTAGGCGACCCGTCGGCAGTTGTCCCTACCCCTGATCTACTCACCAGTGATGTGCCGTGCAGTGATGCGCCGACCGGTGATGTGGGCACGACAGATGTACGCACGACGGATGCGCGCACCGCACTGGTAAAGAAAAAAACCGCTACCGGCAAGATGAAGGGGTCAATCGAGGACACAACGAAAAAGCAGAAAAAAAAAAATGCCAAGGTGGGAAAAGGCACACTACGTGAAGCAACTATACCCCATGGAGGAAGACCCGCCTCGGAGGTCACCATGGACCAACATGATAATCATAGTGACGAGCCAATAGAAAGCACGCAACACCCTTGTACGAATTACCACGTGGAGAAGCTGTTTGAAATTTTTGGTGCCTCCACTTATATATTAGATGACCGCATAGAAGCAGAAAGGGAAAAGTGCCTGCACGTGCCAGAGGGTGTAAAAGTGAAGGTAGGGATGGTGGCCTCAAAAATGGTTAACATCCTCCCCTTCGTGTTCAACTTCATATGTATGAAGCAGGTGGATAATCTGTTCCAACAAGAAAGACACGCCAATTATTTTTTGTATGATTATTTTGTCTGGAGGAACCGAGATCGCCTTTTAGAAGCAATGCGAAAGATAGTGCACTACGTAGATGAACCAGGTGATGTCTCCGACAAGAATAACCTATTTGGTAAAATCCCTCTCCCATGCGATTATGATGTGAGTCCATACGAAGAGGAAAAGAACACCTTGTTAACCATATCACGTGAAGAAACAGTTACCGAGCAACCACAGAATCACACCCTACCCCGAGAGACAAGCCCAAAGTACATATGGATCCTGTCACCAAATGTACGAAACAATGGGTTGGGTATAGCTAACTTGAATGACATGGTAGAGTGGCTGAAGCTACTCAGTTTAGCAATTCTTATGAAGGCGTCTCATGTGTACATTTGTGGGGAGCTGTTTTTTCTGTTTCTGTTCTTCATGTATGACTCTGGTTCTTTGCCTGCGCGGTGGTGCGAGGGGGGAAAAAAGAGTCGTTTCAACCAGCCCTACCTTGGCATATATGCACATAACAATCCTACCAGGGGATGTCCCTCCACTAGCGTCACACACGAGATGGACCATCGCTCTTCATGCCACCTGCTCCACCTAAACTTCCTCAATGTGAAACAATTCCCTGAACCCCTCCTCCTCTTGCTCAAGGTCAACTTATTTAACATTCTTAACATGTGTGATCGGTACCAAATAAAATTACATTTCCCTGAAGACATGTACCTACACCCGAGTGAGTGTATCCCCCCGAGCAACACCTCGACAAATGTCATCCCTGCCGTGTACTGCCGCCTTCCACACAAAAATTATAAACAAATGATACAAGCAAGTAGGAGGAAGTTCCTTCGCACGTATGGGTACCGATTGGCCAATCTGGGCCGCCTGACCAGTGAGGCGCTCAAGGGGGGGGAGTTTTCCCCGGGAAGAAATTCCCACTCGGCAGAGATATCACGCGAGGGGGAAATGGTAGACATACGCGACAAGGAGGAAGACGACACGGACGGCATGACGGACGTGGTCGACGAAGAGGTAGCCGCTGCATGCCCCCAACGAGTGCGCGTCTGCTCACATGACGTGGGACGCCGCACGCTAAATAGCATTGTCAGGCAATTGCGGGGGGGACATAAAGTACTCTGGTTGTGTGGGGCCTTCGAGAGGGACCCAAGACAAGGATGCAACAGCAGCTTGGAGTTGATCGACTGTGTCGTGGCTGCGCACAAAGTAAACACAGGGGACGAGCCACCCGAACTCAGTAACCGAGACAAACGAGGAGTGGTGTACCTGAACAACCTCATCGTGCTCAACGAGGACGTGTACGCCCTGTACCACCGCCAGCCGAGAAAGGACGTTAACATCCCCTTTCTCTTCCCCAGCCATAAGGTACTCGTACACCTGTTCGACCGGACCTTGCCCCCATCAGGGTTCTTCTCTCCGTTCTAGCCCTGCAGCGGTGGCACAGAAATGCAGGGCAACACAACGCCAAACGCAAATTGCGGTGCATGTTCCCCGGCGCAGCACCCCCTCCTCAGCGCGCGGGGGAACTAAAACGAAATATGGCACTTTATAAAAAAAAAAAGTTGCCATGCTGAAACGAATTATAAGTTTCTCTTACGATATAGGTCGTTTGGAGGCGATTGTATATAGCTCGTGTTGTGGGCACCACTCATTTGGGGGAAAAAAAAAAAATAATAAATAAATAAAAAAATAATAACATACCCCCTACATGCGAGACTGTGGCGCCGACTGGGGCGGAAAACAAATTTGAAAAAGCGCTGTTGACGTGTTCACTATTTTTTGCATTTTTTTTTTTTTTTTTTTTTTTTTTTTTTTTTTTTTTTTTTTTCTGCAAAATATACCCATTTGACGTGTTACAATTGTTTCTTTACTGCGTCGGTTTGGGTTTGTTTTTTTTTTTTTTCCCCTTTTTCAGACCAATTTGATGGTTTTCTCCCCCCTGTGGTTTATTTGGCCCCACCCCTCGACAGTGTAGCCAAACAGATAGTGGACCTTCTGTCCCCCCTCGGTGTGAGTCGCCCCTCATCTCATACGTGCTGCACTGCCGGGCCGTCGCCTTATTATTGTTACTATTATTATTAGAGCGTTCCATGGGCAGGTCGCTATTTCTTATAAAAAAGGACTGTTGTGCAGTTTTTATATCAAGTTTGACGGAGCAACTTGTGGTGGCATACGTGTCTGCCGCTCTTGTTCTACAACCAGGCTGAGCAGCTACCACGCCGCGTGCTAAAGTTACCGAGATGAAGAAAAAGGTTGACGGGCGCATCAAGACGCTGGTGGAGAACAATGTGGCGCTAGGGCAGCGGAGCATGTTCCTGGTGATAGGAGACCAGGGAAAAAACGTGGTTGTGAATTTTTACTTTCTGTTAAATCGGCTAGCCAGCAGGACGCACAACATCTTGTGGTGTTATAAGAAAAAATTAGATTTCGCCACAAGCAAGAAAAAGCGATTCAGGGAAATGAAAAAAAAAATAAAAAAAGGAACCTTCGATGCAACCATTGATAATAATTTTGACGCATTTTTAAAAAGTGCTAACATCAGATTCTGCTTCTACAATGAAACGAAGAAGGTGTTGGGCAAAACTTATTCCATGTGTGTACTTCAAGATTTTTCATACATCACGCCAAACATTTTGTGCAGGTGTGTCGAGACAGTAATTGGAGGGGGAATCATTCTGTTCCTCTTAAATAAGTTAGATGATGTTAAAAATATTTATAACTTAACTTTAAATTGTCACAAGAAGTACACAAAGAGTGGTATCTGTAATGTTTATAATAATTACATTACGAGGTTTTTCCTCTCCCTCAACCAGTGTGCAAATGCTATGTTTATTGACGATGAAATGAATATTCTACCGCTGAATGATAACCACTTACATGTGAAGAAGCTGGTGGGGGACTCCAACCAGGGGGATGTTCCTCTCACGTCCTCTCGCACGGCCACGCTAGGAGGCCACCTCTGTCCGTACAAGGAGAAGCTTAGGGACAGGTTGGCTGAGCTGGAAGCCATCTGCGATGAAAACGAGAAGAGGGAGGAGGAGCGCCGCCGCTTCCTCTACTCCGCGCGGGTTTGCGCTACGGGGGGGGGAGATGACGACGAACAAGATGAAGAAGAAGACGGGACGCGTGTCAAAAAACATGCTAGGAGCGCCGGGACGGAGGCAGAGCCCAACCCCCCCTACTCCTTCCTGAACAGACCCATAATGAACCTACTGCGCATCTGTCTCACCATCGACCAGCTCGAGGTCCTTCTCAACATGTGTAAAATTCTGCGCAACGACGAAGAGAAGAAGAGGCAGCTAAAGGAGGTGCTCATAAACCTCCTCGCCAACAGAGGAAGGGGTAAGTCTGCCACACTAGGCTTACTAATCGCGTTAAGTATTTACTTCAACTACACCAATATAATTCTTTGCTCCGGAAACAACGACGGTATACAAACGATATATGATTTTATTGAAAAAGGACTTCACCTCCTAGGATACAAAGAGTTCACTCATTACGAACGAGTACAACACTTGTCCACATTAAAAGAAATAATTATTTTTAAGGACATTCGAAATATGAGTAATGTAAAGCAGAGGATAAGGTACTTCGATATACTTGAAGACGACATGGTCAACTCAGAGCTGATGATAATTGACGAAGCTGCATGTATACCGATTCATGTATTAAAAAAAAAAATAAAAGGAGAAATCACCATCCTGTCTACTACCCTTAACGGGTACGAAGGGACAGGAAAAACGTTCATCTTTAAACTACTTAAACAGTTGAAGAAAAAATTTGTATCCCAGTTGACTTATGAAGACTTGAAACAAATGAAGAGACTCTACTTCGAAAGAGCTTTCATAGATGTGTCCTTGGACACGCCTATACGATACAGCTACAATGATCAGGTGGAGGTCTGGCTGAATAATTTCCTTTGCCTCAATTGTAACGAATCATTTAAACTGAAAAACTCTCTTTGCTCTCCTCCCAATTGTCAACTCTACTTTGTTAATAAAAATATATTCAAACGGTTCAGCAAAACGAGTGAAAATTTTTTAAGGAAAATCATGACCCTCTTTGTCACCTCCCATTATAAAAACACACCAAATGATTTAATAATGATACTCGACTCGCAGCAACATCACCTCTTCGTCCTACTGAGCGGCAACGTCGACCTGAACAACCTGTCCCCGGAGGCAGTGGACGAGCTAGACATTTACGGGGTCCTCCATTGCGCCATCGACGGCATCGTGCACCCCCGGGCGGGCAGACGCCTCGTCAAGCTGCACGATCTCACCAAGGGAGGGGACAACCATTACATGCACACGAATGGTGATCAGGGCGGGGAGAGGAATGGCGAGGGCAGCGAACAGGACGAGTGCAGGCAGGAGGAAGATCCCGCAGATGCATGCGCGAGTGCACAAAACGCACACGGCACCACGCTCAAACACTCCATGCCGAAAGAATTCGAAGGAAACCTAATGCCCTACCTAATCACAGAACACTTCGACTTCTACTTCTACCACTACATCGGCGTAAGGGTCGTGCGAATCTCTATCCACCCGTCCATACAGAACTTGAATTATGGCTCGCAATTCCTGAAAAAGCTGTGCGACTACTACAGCCTCTACAACCATGCGGAGAGTCGAGAGGCTGCCACACCCTACAAGGAGAATGTCATTCTATACCGCTGCAGCGGTGGTGGAAGTGACGAGGCAAATGGACGCATCTTCTTTGACCATCAGCTCAGACACGTCGACTACATCGGGACATGCTTCGGGCTCACCAAGGGACTCCTCATCTTCTGGCAAAAAAATAATTTCGTCCCTGTTTACTTGAAACAACAGAGGAATGAAATAACAGGAGAGTTCAGTCTCCTCATGCTCAGACATTTGAATAAAGACCTGAAAAAAATATTTACTAATTTTTACCTGGACTTTGTTCGAAGCTTTTGTAACCTATTACCCTACTCCTTCAAAAAGTTAGAGTCCTTTGTCGTCTTCAATCTGCTGCATAACAACCCAATCATACTGGCCAGTCCCACGCGCGATGAGCTACTCCTCCCGAGGGGCAAGCCACAGGGACAGGAAGAGAGAAAAAAAGAACAAGTTCATGAGGCTGCAGACGAAGAAGAAGAATTTGCCCCACATGATGACGACGACCCAGATCAGTACGCCTCCTTCTATGAAGACCATCTACTGACACAAGAAAACCTGTTCTACTTCTTCCACCCCAATGACATATGCCGACTCAAGCGCTTCGTCATGGAGTCTAAAGCTTTCGCGGACATCCTCTACCTCATGCAGACTGTGGCGAACTTAATCCTCTTCCGCAAGGTGCCCATTCAGCTCACCTTCCTCGAGTACACCATCCTCTACGCGGTGTCCCTGCAAAAAAAAAATTGTCAGGAAATTTCAGAAGAGATCAGCATCCACGTAAACCAGACCGTCGCTCTCCTGCGAAAGGTCCTCCATCGCTTCTACACATTCCTCAAGGTGAGACGGAGCAGCTTATACGAAGCGATGTGCCGCGCTACATACCCTTGCGCCATGTATATGTTGATCGCAACAAAGCAATCATTCACGCTCCTTTCTTTTTCCCGTTCCTCTTTCTTAACTTCCCCTCACACAGGACCTGATGCAAAAGGACATTGAAAAAAAAGTCGAGGCGCAGTTCAGCCAGAAGCTGCTTAAGAAGAAGAAGCGAGCGCGCGAGGTGGAACTCCCCGCGGAGGAATACGTCGACGAGCTCAACAGGAACGCCCGCATGGTGATGAAGAAGAACAAGAAGAAGAAGAAGGCCCTCCTGCGCGAGTTTAACCTGTCAGGTGAGCAATCTGAGTGGTGAAGCGGTGAAGTAGGGAAGCGGCGACGGGGCGAAGTGAAGACGCGGTGACGCGGCGACGCGGCGAAACAGATTGCCACCCCTGCCATGGATGACTGTGCACGCGTGCTCTGTTCTTACAATTGTTAAGCAGTGAGATGGAAGCTTCTCTCGCACGTACCAGCAGTTCGTGTCGCCTTTCCTCACCTGTTTTTTTTTTTTTTTTTATTTATTAATTATTTTTTTTGTTCTTGCTCCCCCTTCCGCGCCGCGCCCCCGCGCTATTCTGTGCCGCCCCGATCTGCGCCATGCAACGCGCGTGGCAACATGCGCAGCAACCCCACACGCTTCTACACGCGCATGCCCAATTCTATCCCCTCTCAGGAACCGTGAAAAGGAAACAAATCAACATCAAGACAAACGACGACGCGGATCCCCCCAAGGACAAAGTCTCCAGCTGATGTTACGAGGATTTTAACAACCCCCATTCGTCCTCTTTTCTGCTGCCATAAAAAAAAAAAATTTTTTTTTTTTTTTTTCCAACCATTCGTATTCATGGTTCCCCCATTCCCGTCATGTGTACACTACTCTCCCTGTGCTCATCTCATGACTTCCATTTTATTTCCTTCTTGTGGTTCTCACCCTTTGTATATTAGTGTATCCTCTACATACACGTTGCTTGCATTTGCCAACCAAACAACTCCTCGCAAAAGCTACTCCACTTGTTTGCTTTTATATGAACAGGGAAATTTCTCTTCATAGTTCCCCCTTTCCTCTAACGGACGTCACTTACCACCGGTTAGAAAAAGGGTTCGAAGATACAAACCCATCGCTTGTATAACCCACTCGGGTTGCTCCACGGAACTTATGTAGTATCACCCTTTTTTTTTTTTTTTTTTTTGAACTAATCTGTTGCCACTTGGTGGCCCACATCACATTGCTACGTTGTTGCTATAACTGCACTAACGGGGAAAAAAAAAAAAACACACACACACACGCAACGATGTTCCTGCACTGGCCTCTCTCCTTCATTCTGTACCTACGCACCTTCACATGCATTTCTTTCCCCAACAAGCATGGCTTTATAAGTACCCTGAACCATGCCAGGGCACCACCTTCTCCTCACCACAAAGGAAAAAACAGAACAAGGGTTATCTTTGCTCAAATTGAAATAAAAATGCCTGCCCTCTCAAGTACCATGACGTCAGGAAAAATCGTCAAGTGGAACAAAGACATTGGAGAGTATGTAAATGTATGTGCAGCTGAGAGGTGGAAATTTCCCGCCCCCCCCACACACATTAATATATATATATACACACACACATATATACATATATGCTGAGGCGCTTCCCCTTATTTTTTTTTGGGGGGGCCACCCAAATGGACTATTCCCCCCTCCCCTTCAGCTCGGCGACATCATCATGACAGTTGAAAGTGACAAAGCGGACATGGACGTGGAGGCCTTCGACGAGGGTACGCCCGAGGGACAGATGGGACAAGCCGGCAAAAAAAATAAATAAATAAAGCCCTATGTGCATGATTAAGCGGGGGGGAGGGTCGTTGTCTACCTAGCTTGTACACCCCAATACACACACACTAAAATGCCCCCCGGCAGGATTCCTCCGCGTGAAGCACATGGGAGACGGAAGTGAAGCGAACGTCGGGGACACCCTTGGTATTCTAACCACAGAGAAAGACGAACAAATAAAAGTTGGCAGTGACGACTCCCTCAAGGGAGCCACCGAGGAGAACTCCCAAGGGGGACAGACAGATCCTGTAGCGAAGGAAAATACCATCACACGGAAAGACAACACTGCAGAGGTGGTGATGGACACCACGCAGCAACAAACAGATGAGCAGAAAATATTCATACCCTTCGTGAGTAGCAAGAGGAACAGAGCAAGAATAATTAAGTGGACTCGCAAAGAGAATGAGTACATTAACAAAGACGAAATCCTGTTCCATGTGGAAGACGATAAAAGCACCATTGAAGTGGAGAGTCCCTGTTACGGTTATTACATTTTTTTTTTTTTTTTTTTTTTGTACTCCATCAAGCAACGCGCCGCCTCTGATGCGAAATACATTTTCTTCTTAACCCCCCTGTGAACCCACATCACTTTATAATTCTTCACACAACCCCCCTGTTGCAATACTGGAACAACTTTTTAGGTGTCGTGAAGAAAATTTTTATTGAAGAAGGACAATTGGCGGACCTTGACAAACCGGTCGCCATCATCTCCCCCAGGAAGGTAAGACTTGTGCTGCTAAGACAACCCCACCCGAGTGAACATACTCCATCGTGGCATCTCTCACCAGTTGGTGTTTGCTGTCCTTCCGCTCCTGTTCACCCCCTTTCTCGTTTCCCCAGGCAGAAGACCCCCCCAGGGACGTCCAACTCGTAAACGAAGAAAACATTTTGAGGCACTACCAGGAAGCCATCAGCGGTACCCGGGAAGGAAAACTTCTGTTGCAAAATATGAGGTAGACTTGCTCTCCGTCTTCAGCTGGGCTCGGCTCCGGGGTGTTTATGTGTGTGTGACCTGTACCCGATGCGTCCTCTCACATGCCACGATAAAATGTCACTCCGGTTGCCTCCCCATTTACCACCCCCTCAAAGCGACACCGATAAAAGCACCATGGAAGAGCGGCTCCTTCTAAACCACGACAAGTATAACAACCTTTCGAGGGACTTCTTCAGGTGAGAATGAACGAGATCATCATACAGTGGACACCGAATTGTGTGCACCCCTGAGTACTCATTATTTACCACCTTAATTATAAATGTGCAGTTCGAGCGGCGATGATACACCTGGGAAAGGCTCAACAGATAAGAAGAGGGACATGGTATGGACGGAAAGGGGAGAAAAAAATAAAAAAACACGGCGCAGATGTTACGTGGCGTATAAACGGGCATGACCTCGATTCGCATCCATTTACTTATATTCACTCTATCGCTTCGACCCACCTGTTTCACTCCCTTCAACTTCTCCCCCCATGCAGCCTCCCCCCAAAGGGAGAGACGCCCCAATTGTGCTGCCCTCCGCAGCCGAGGTGATGGAAAAGAACAAGCTAACCCCAGCGGACATTAAGTAAGTTCAAATCGGCACACCAATGCAGCAACGAACGTAACAGAAGCATATGCACATGGACAGTCACTTTTACTTTTCATGCACGCGAAAGTAGCACACATACAAACATATGACAACCCCCCAGATCACCCAAGGTACCTGGACGTATAACGTACGAAGACGTCGTTTCACACCTGGAACGCACAAGAGCACCTACCCCCGCCAAGGAAAAAATAATTGAATTAACCAACGTCCAAAAGGCAATAAAAAATAACATGATGCGTACACTGTCCATTCCAGTCTTCCGCATCACCCATTTTATAAAAACAAATGCTCTCCTGAAACTTTATGAGCAAATTAAGGACAAAATTAATATGACTGTCCTCCTGTGCAAGTGTGTGTCCAATGTGTTACTGAAGCATCCCATCATTTACTCAACCTTCATCGATGAGGGAGAGGGGAAAATATTATTTAACGAAGACGTTAACATTGGAAATGCCCTGGGATTGAAGAACTCTCTCCTGACGCCCGTGCTCAAGCGGGTGAACAAGACGGACATATATACCCTGGCCGGAGAATGGAAGGTTCGTAAAAAAAAGTTGTGCAAAAAAAGTGTATTGCCTGGTCATGTGATTTTCACAAAATATCGCTAGTTGTTCAGGCAAAAATAGCTATTTTTTTTTTTTTTTTTTTTTTTTTTTTTTTCCTTCCCCGCGCAGAAGCTAGTTGAGAAAGGCAAACAGGGCCTGCTGACGCCCGGTGAAATGACAGGCAGCAACTTCTACATCTCCAACCTAGGCATGTTTAACACCTACCAGTTCGACGCGACACTGCCCCCAAATGTGTCATGCATCCTGTCCGTCGGCACCAACATTGGGAGCGTTGAGAACTTCGAAGACCTGAAAATCCAGCGGGGCATGATGATGACGCTGACCTGTGACCACCGCCACATTTATGGCTCGCATGCGGCTGCATTCATGAGTGACTTGGCGACGTTTGTCGAGCAGGACATCATGCAAGTCTTTCTATAACTGGGTGAAGCCGTGCAAAGGCAAACTCGCGAGCGGTTATAATATATGCCCCCAAATCCGCTGCGCACACACACAAAGGCCACATTCTACTGAATGTAAACTTTTCGAATGATATACATTTCTCCACTCCTATACGTGGGTCACGTCCCTACGTCCAAATTGTTGTTCAAATTTCCGGTAATGAAAATAATAAAAGCATTTTTAATTTTTTTTTTTTCTTTTTTTTTTCCCTTTTTTCTCTTTTTTTTT